TCAGTTAACCATACTCCTACTTCCTGGCTTTCGATTGGCGCTAGTCACATGTCAATTGACCTCTTATTGTCTAAGTGGCAGTTGTTCAAAGCGAACGAGGTCATTGCAACAGTTTTGTCCCTTTCAATCAGGCATACGAAAAATCGAATTTATTAGTACTTTGTGTGCTTGCCTTTGGCCTTCAACACTGCCTGAACCCTTCTAGGCATGTTTTCTATCAAATCCAAGCATGTTTGGACTGGAATGGCGTCCCACTCAGTCTTGACCCGCTGCCAGAGTTCGTGGATGCTGACGGGCTCATTCTCGTACCTCGCCAGCCTCCGCTTCAAATGTTGCCACAAGTGCTCTATTGGGTTGAGGTCTGGCGACTGTGCTGGCCATTCTAGGACCTCGATTCCATGGTCCTGGAACCATTGGCGAGCCAGCCGCGAGGTGTGTTTCGGATCATTGTCCTGCTGAAACACCACCTCTCCCACTTCGAGGCGGTAATGCGCCAGTGTCTGGAGCAATTTTTCCTCAAGGATGCTTGTATAGAGTCTGGCATCCATTCTTCCTTGGATTTGACAGCCAGACCCGACTCCTTTGGCCGTCATGCAGCCCCAAAACATCAGGCCACCTCCACCATGCTTGCGGGTCTCCCTCACGTGCCGCTCTGCTAGGGTTCGCCGGGCTATTTCCATGTCCAATCACGCCCATCCGACCTCATGAGGTTGATTTTTGTCGCATCTGACCAAATTATGCGTTTCCTGTCCTCTACAGTCCAGTGTTGGTGGCGGCGGGCGAATTCTAGCCGCTGTCGGATATGCCGCAGCTGGAGTTGCGGCTTCTTTCGCTTGGTTGTTGCCCTCAGACCAGCTTTGGAAACAGTTTTGGCACTGCACTCTACCGAGGTGCTGCTCTTGAGCTGCCTTGTCGCTGGCACTGCTGTGTCAACCTGACTCGATGTCACCATCCTGATGACTCTGCGCTTGTCGGCGGCAGAAAGCTTGGATGGACGCCCACCATTGCTCTTTCATGCGTCGGGTCTGACTTGAGAACGCACCCGGGATACGGTGCTATAGCTTATGCCAAGCTGGGCTGCAATTCGACGCGTCGAGAGGCCATGGTCGAGAAGTNCAAGCTGGGCTGCAATTCGACGCGTCGAGAGGCCATGGTCGACGAGTGAGGCGATGCTGTCGCGAGTTTGTTGGGAAACAGGTTTCATGTTGCCAGGAACGTTCAAATGGAACCCAACCCCACCCAAGACTACCACATCTACACCTAGGCAAGCTACAGGCTTGCTTAGGTGGCTTCTGGCCAGGTTTCATTTGGGAAATGGGAGACTGGGGGGTTTTCTATATTGTGGATGGAAGGCGTGGGACGTAGGGACAATACGGTTGCAATGACCTGGTTAGCTTTCAACACCCTGCAGCTCAACCAATAGGGGGCCAATTGACATGTGACTAGCACCAATCCAAAACCAGGAAGTTCAAGCATGATTGACTGAAATTTATGTAAAATTGAAATCGTCATACGCGAGTTATGAGTCATAAACTGGCAATGTGTTGAACATTGCAACAGTTTTGTCCTGCATTGTACATGGTGAAGTAGGGAACTGATATGTTTTAGGCCCAAGAAAATCTCCATCAAGGATCAACTGCATCAGACAATTCCTTAAAAAGTTACCACCAAATTAAATCAGATTGTTATGATTCAACATCAAACTTTGTTTGACAACATCTTTTGAATTGACAATTTCCCAAGATGCTTCAGCTGAATTTCTGTAGCAAGGCATTTATAGTTCTTTCGACTTCTTTAATGAGCATCGCAATTTCCTAGCTGGTGAAATTCGATCGTCGACCACTCCCTCCAATACTCTTCCTGATGCTAACTGTTGAGACAACGTCCAGAACTACACGTCCTTCGTTATTTCTTTACCCGATTCCTGAATTCTCTTTGGATTTAAAAAAAAAGGTGAAAATAATCCCCTGGGAGAAGGTCAAAGAAGGCTTTCAAAAGTCAAAACAGAAAAAAGGATATACCAACTAATTGCGATTTCTCGATTGTTTTCCAGGTCAAAGCTCAACTCCTCCTTGTAGTAAGTGTGGACGCATACAATTATCCTACGACATGATTCCTCAAGGTACATAAATTCCTCATTCCGAGTCTGATTACCAGAATGCGGAATCCCTGCGAGCCCCCCTCCGAGCGGCAAGAGATCCATCGATTTCCGAACCAATGCGACCGATCCCAACCTGGATCGGATTTGGGTGGGATTTGCCGTTCCTTACGAGGGTAAGTATCCCTGGATGGCACACTTCCAAGATAAAGGAGAATTCTGTGGGGGTACCCTCATCAATGATCGATACGTCCTCACTGCAGCTCAATGCGTCGATCAGAGGTCTCGATTCTTTCTTTCGTTTCATCTCTTCTCTTGAATATTCACATTCCTTGTCCCTGTGGAAATATGATCGGTCTTTGACCATAGATGACCGTTTCATTCTTGTTCTAAAAACGTAGCCCATCCGACACTTTCTATGTGACCCTTGGAGATTTGGACTGGTCGACGAAGACCGAAAGTCAATCCATTCGGCTGCCGGCACGGGCCATCATCCACCCTCAGTACGACCCAGTTTCCAAAGTGAACGACGTCGCTCTGCTCAAGCTCAATTCTCCGGTGGACTTCCAGGCTTTCCCTCGCATCCGTCCCATCTGTATTTCTGTCTATGCCTTGCCAATTCCGGGACTAATCGGCAGAATCGCGGGATGGGGTTACGATGGCGGACGTGAGTAATTGCCTGCATCCAATCGAGACACATGCCAGTGGGAGTTGAAACGGACGGGGAATATTCATTGTTGGTGAAGGAATCACTAATTCTGGGAAATTGTTCAAATTCTTCTTTGATTGACTAAATAATCCCTTTAAGGGAAAGAGAAAGTTCCACCTTTTTAACTGATCAATTCATTCCATTGACTTGCACTGAAATTTCTATTGAAATTCCCAATTTTCCAATATCCTAATTTCTAGCATGTCTATCGATCCTATTGCAAATTTTTTGCCTATACGACACGGCGACCGTGTCATCATGTCGTGTCTTTCCAAGGAAAGCTAATTGCTTTCCCAGGGATTCTTTGAAAGATAGATTGAAGAAAGGAATAGAATAGAATAACCAAGTTCTTTTCTTCGCGTCCCTCTCTGGTCCGCTTACTATAAACGCACCATCATATCCTGAACTTTCCTTCTCGCCTGAGAGTTAATTACTCAAAACCATTAAGATTGCTAATACGAGGATTCATCATGAATGCTAGACTTAATCCCAGCAAAGAAGAGAAATCTCAAATAGTTATCTCAATGATTTTCTCTTTGTTGCGGGTTTGGTGTGAGTGCTATTCTCTTTTAAATGAAAGACGAATTTCCGCGACGAGATTGCGTTGGAGTTATCAGAACCTTGATCCCCTCCTCTTGCATGGACTCGGTCTGCAATATACTAGCGGGGATCAGCACGGTGATGAAAGAGCAGACAGCGACCATCTTGAGGGAGGTGGAATGCAAGAACAATCAGGGCACCCTCGTCAACGATAACAACTTCTGTGCGAATGCAGCAGGAAGAAACTTCTGTAACGTGAGTCTAGCAACCGATAGTAAAGGAAAGTGGAGGAAAATTGCTGAAAGAGTTTACTTTAGCCGGCTTCGTTCAGGGCGACGTCGGCGGACCGTTCATGCTCGAAACCGAGGCTGGCTTCTACCAACAACTCGGAATCATTTCCTCGACCAGCAAGGAATGCTACAACGGCGTTGGAGGAGTCTACATGAAGACAGCGAGTGAGTGCATGCAAAACCGGCTATGCGGATGTGCCTCTGGGTCGATTCTCACGGGTTCCTTCCGATTCCAGATTACGTGAACGGGTTCATCATGCCCAACACCCAGGATGCCGTTTGGTGCTCTGCCGCCGAGCGCTGAGTCTCTTCTTAGAATTCGGTTTTGAGAAGCATGAAAGATAAAACGTTCATTAATGGAAATCATGTTTCCTTTTTCTTCCAATGTTTTTTTTATAAATCGTTTTTGCTTCCTTAATCCATTCCTTTTTTCAAGTGGATGTCTTGGAAAGTAACATAAGATTTACAATTACGTAAGATTTATATGCAATGAACGGTGTTTGAGGAGGAAACGCAAAAAACGCTAATGCTATTATTCTTTCCATGATTTCCTGTAACTGGCAAGGACAAAAATCTTAATTTTTTTCCTTCAAAGTATATTAAAACTTTAAATTACTCTTTAAGCTAAGGATGTAAGAATGAAAGATTCGTTAAATGTACCTTTCATATTCCTTTAAGAAAGATATATTGCATGTTCAGAAAATAAAAATAAATACATGTGAGAAGGTTATGCAATGAAAAACACCCCTTAGCTGTCCAATGGACCCCAGTGCCTGGTTAGTGGTTAAGCAACGACTATTTTTTTTTAATAATAATACACATCACGTTCACCAGTATGAACTGAAAAGGAGATATGAAATCAAGGAAAGGCTTCGATGAATAATGTGGCATCGACGTTTCAACGTGGCATCTATTCGAAGCGACCTCGTTGTATATTAGAACATATCTAACATCGACGGGGAAAATCATACATTGGTTTTCTAGCCATGGCCAAAAGAATATGGCCCAAACTAGACGAATATGGGGTTTAGTGACACCCACTTATGGGGTTTAATGTCACGAACCATCTCCTTCAGATGCCCCCACAGCCAAAAAATTATTGCCAAATCCGGTGATATTGCTGGCCACTTACGGGGCCCTTTGAACCTCATCCCGGGTTTCTTCATGGTATTGCGAGCCTCGCAGGTTTGCTGGTGGAATAGTTGATGAGCCGCCCTTCCACCTGGACTACAGCTTTGAGCAGCAGCTTCTACTCTGGATCTCTTTGTTCCGTGCGCTATTAAATGTCCAGAAAACTCACTTCAATGTTGTTCCGTCTACTATAGCAACGGTACCATGATCAAAACCTTCATGATTGGTTGATGTCCAATGAATTAATCGATTTTGCACTCTTTTTATTCAGTATCCATAGCGTGCACACACTGCACTTGCGCAATTGGAAAGTAAACGCAGTGTCATGGCTGAACTGCATAAAACTGTAATAGAGAATATCCATTCGGAAATGGAAACGTATCTGTAGCGTTCCTCTGCTCCATATTCCTGGTCCGACATGGGTTATCGATTATATGTGATGGTGCGTATCCCATGACTTTATTTTCGTCTAAAGTATTCAACGCCGAACCCCGAGGCTGTGACCATAACTCTATAAGTACTGTCGCACAATGCACTAGTTTTTTTTGCATTAGGTGCACACTTCTACATTCCGTTTCGGTATTCCCATACCTTCACATTTTATATTCCCCTGTGTACACATTACAATATATATTGGTGTTCCAAAAGAAACTACCCACGGTTTGTCAGGGTATATCTCCTGGTAAAATGCATAGGTAATGATAATTTTTGGCGTGTGTATTATAGCCTAAAGGGAAAGTAATATACTCGGGGATGGCTGGAAGATCTCGCCTTAGCATTGCAGAATGGGTACAAATAGTCAAATGGCACGCTAAGTATGAAAATGTGACAGAAGTGCAACGGCAGTTTGAGAAAACTTTTGGGTGTCGTCCCCCAGAACGTAAATCCATTGTAGC